AAATCCTCGCTAGCACGAGCCCACAGCACAGCAGCCGTCCCTGCTGACTGGGCTAGGATGTGGCTCAGGAGCAGGAAGCACAAACTACCACACACCAGCAGTGTTGTCGGGCAGGGCTCCCCTTTCAGTCCTCAGCTGAGGGCAGCGTGGCAGCCCGTGACCCTGCTCTCGCTGGGCAGCAGAGGCAGCTCCACAGCTGGAAGGCAGAAGCCCCTCTCCCTCCTGCCTCTGGGGATTTCTTGTCCCTAGACTCCGCAGCACTGCTCCGCCAGCCCTGGCTGCGGTGATTATCTCTTCTCTCTCTTATTTCTCCACATTTCCAGGATGTTTTGGCCTCCCCAAAGACCCTGGGCATTTTTACAGTCCATGTTCTGCACTGGGGTGTTCCTGAGGAGAAACCGGGAAAGCCGCGCAGGAGACCCTGCACAGAGCATTCCCAAACACCCCAGCAACGCGCACATCCTTCCTGCTGCAGCTGTGAGCGTGGAACACAGCAACCTCCGAACCCAACGAGGGGAGCAGCGGCTTCAACACAGCCAAATTTCTTCCTACGGCCCTGCTGCACAGCCCCGCTGTCCCCAGAAGGTAACAGAATGATTCCCAAGCTGTTTTAGGCCTGCACAGAGCCTCCATGTGGAAAAAGCGCAGCGTCTGCGTCCTGTGTGCAACACAGGCAGATCTGCAGCCCAAACTTTGTCACGTTGCTGTTTGGGAGTAGTGGGATAGGGATACCACCTGGACACACACTTCAGGCACCTGCAAGCGGCTTCAGCGGACGTTTGGCAGGGAGCAGCCTGCGAGAGGCAGCTGCTGGCGGCCTGGGGCTTCAGCAGGAGCAGCGCATCTGCTTGGGTGGGCACCTCGCTCGGGGATTTGGAAAACCCCACGAGAAGAATTGGAACGAAACCAGCACGTCCCACTTACCTGGTGGAACTTTTTTAAAGCAGAGGCAGCTTTAACAGCCCAGCTCACCTAACGGCACCTTCACCGCACACAGCCAGAGCAGCGGGCAGCCAGCCTGAGCTCAGGCACCAGGCAAATCCCCACCTGAAGCGCACCCAGCACTGATGTGCTGCTTTTGCTTTCTGTCACTGAGTCTTGCTACAGCTGAGCCCAAGCCTGGTCCCTTTCCCTGCAGTCCCGAAAGCCCAGCAGCCCCCAGGCAGCTCTCCAAAGAGAAGACAATTCATCAGAGTTCAGATTCTCTGCACCCACCAGACTCACAAGCACCACAGAGCCGTGTTCCTGCTGCAGACCTGCAGACCTGCAGCCCCCAGCCGTGGGCTCTTCCCAGAGTACAGAGCCCTGAGAAGCCCTCCGGCACCTACGAGCCCTCAGCAATCCCACCCGGTGTGCTTTCAGAGTGGGCCACGTCCCACGCTCAAGCACCCGCTCCCATCACACCCCCCTTCGCCCCTCTCCAGTCTGTTGTTACCCCATCACACCAGCACCAAACACAGAAGCAATAAAACCTACACCCCTAGGAACCAACTACCCATGTTTCCACACCCCAAAATGTTTCCACACCCCAAAATGACAGCAACTCACACCAGTCTGTGCTGAGAACAGCAAAACCCAGCTGCTTCCCCACACCATCACCCTGTTCCCTGCTCCCTCCTGGCCCCGCAGCCACCTCTCAGCCAGCTTTTATTTACCTTTGGGCCGAGGTCTGCCAGTCTCCGGGCGGCTGCGGCGCAGGGTTGCGGGGACGATCTCCGGGGGAAGGTGGAGGTAATCGCGCAGGTACTGGATGCCCTCGTTGGTCAGGTACCAGTAGAAATGCCTCCACGCAAACTGCTCTTTCACATAACCACGGGATTTCAGAGACTAGGGAAAGAGTTCTCGGTTATTGCCCAGTTATTGGGGGTAAAAAGCTAGTAAAAGACAAAAGTTCACACATGAAAAATAAATCTGATGGCATTATTCCCGTTCTGTGAGAAAATGTAAGGGTGCCACACATAAAAGCATCACAGCTTCAAAAAAAGAAAGCTGGTATACAAAAAACATCTCTATCCATGGAGAACACAGTAAGTAAAAAGGGAATAACAATAATCAGGAAAATGGGACAACCACCACACTAGGAAAGAAACAGTGAACACAAGGCGATGTCTGACAGCGTTTATTTGCTAACAATTGACAATATTTACTTACAGACAGCGACCCCCAGCCTCACGTGCCCGCATCCAGCTGCGCCCTCCCCTCCGTACCTGCATGGCTTTCATGACGTGGAGGTTGGGCACGTTCTTGTCGACGAGCTCGGGGTGCTTGGGCATGTGGACGTCTTTCTTGGCCACCATCACGCCCTCCTTAAAAAGGAGCTCGTAGATGGCGATCCGGTTCTTCTTGGGCATCAACATCTAAACATGAAACAGGCAAAGAGTAAACACTGATGGTGTAAAATAAACATGTTCAGGTGACAAATGTCTACCAGAAGTGATACAATAACCACAGTGGTGGTTTGTATGAGAAGCCTAACGCTTGTAAAAAGAAAAAGGTTGTCTCTTAAAGGATTTTTTGAACTAAAATTCAGCATGCGAGCTCCTCAGCACCCCGAACTTGGGCTTTTTAATTCTAAAATGGATTTCTAACATTAAAATATAGCTTCACGTTAAAGACTACATGTCAGCTACCTGCTGTCAGAGGGAAACAGGGACAGGGGCCGGTGGGGCAGAGCTCTCCCCCTCAGCCCCGGGCTGACCCACCTCACCCCGACCCCAGCAGAAGCGCCCCGAGCGCCCCAAACACCCCCGGGCTCGGCACCCCCTGCCTCGGGGCCCGCCTCGGCCTCCCGGAGCGCGCCTCCGGGGCCTACCCGCGGCCTCCCGCCCCCGGGCCCTCCCATCCCGCAAAATCGGGCCCACGAGCGCGCCCCATCCCGGCGATTTCCCCCCGGCGGGGCCGGGCCTCGTCCCCCCATCGCCGCCCTGGGGGCTGCCCCGCGGCGCCGCCCCGGGATGGCTCCGATGCGGGCCCGATGCGGCCCCGGAGCGCGGCCTCACCGTGGCGGCGGCGGCGGGGCCCGGACCGGAAGAGGAGGGCGCGTGCGCGGAGCGGCCGCTTCCGGCCTCCCGAAGGCCCCCTCCTGGAGGAACGAGGGCCGGGGGAACGGAGGTGTCCGCGGCGCTGCCTGAGTGCAATAGGAAGGCCCCCAGAATGAGGGGTGCCCCGCGCGGTGCCTGATTGGAAATGTCCCTTGGGGCGTCTCTGCCCCTTGGGGCGTCTCTGCCCCGCCCGGTGTCACCCCCCCCCCCCAAGGTGTCCGTCAGACATTTGGGGGCGACAGTAAAAATGCACGGGGAGAGCCTGGGGCCGGGCCAGGTGCTCGGAGATGGCCTCCATCACCTCCTCTGCCACTTGCCTCTGTCATGGAGGAGCTGCCCCTGTGCATGGCAGCGCCTCACCCCACAGCGCCTCACCCCACAGCGCCTCACCCCACAGTGCCTCGTCCCTCAGTGCCTCACCCCACAGTGCCTCAGCCCTCAGCCCCCAGCCCCTCGTCCCCCAGCCTCTTGTCCCCCAGCCCCTCATCCATCAGCTCCTCATCCATCAGCCCCCTCGTCCCTCATCTCCTTGTCCCCCAGTCCCTCACCATTCAGCCCCTCGTCCATCAGCCCCTCGTCCATCCTGCCCCATTGTCCCTCATCGCCTCATCTCTCATCGCTTCGTCCCCCAAGCCCTTCATCCTCCAGCCCCTTGTCCCCTTAGCTCCTTGTCCCCCCAGCCCCTTGTCCCCCAGTGCCTCGTCCCTCATCGCCTCGTTCCCCAGCCCCTCAGCCCCTCGCCCCACAGCCCCTCACCCCACAGCCCCTCATTCACCAGCCCCCAGCCCCTATTCCCTCAGCCCCTATGCCCCCCAGCTCCTCATCCCACAGCCCCTCAGCCCCTGTTCTCTCAGCCCCTCACCCCCCAGTCCCTCATCCCACAGCTCTGCCAGCACCAGGGCAGCCCCGACAGCTCCCACACGTGCCCAGCAGCAATGGGATTTGCAGTGCCAGTGCCTGGGATCATCCTCCACGGATTAGGGTTTGAGGCCGGCCTCGCTCTCGCCCCTGCCCATACTCCCCAGGCTGGTGGGGGCATGGCATGAGGGGCCAGCGGGAGGACGCCTGTGGGGCTAAGCCAGGCAGGGGGGGCTTGGGCAGGGCTCCGAGCACGGCCTCTGTTTGTTGAGGCTGAAACATTCATCATGGGAGGCTCCCGCAGCCTTCTGCAGGTGCCCGGGGGCAGCCTCATGGTGAGGAGGAGCAGATCCACCACCACCATGTCTGCTTTTCTTGGGGACACACTATATGGGGACATTTGTGGTGGGGCTCTGGCATCCCTGCCTCCACCACGGCCCCTCAATGAGAGGCCCAGAGCCGTGGGGCTCAGTGCTTCTCGTGGGCTGCAGCCCCCGCTGCCACCAGCCCTGCCCTCGGGGAAGGGCTGGAGGTGAGGAGGAGGTGGCAGCGCCCTTTGGAGCCAGGCTGTAAAGCCCTGGCTGGGATCCCGGGGGAGCAGGATGGACGTGTAGGTGTGGGGAGACCGCAGGACACACACCCAGTGCTGCAGGCACTGCTCCCACAATCATCTTCCTCCCCAGCCCAGCTCCATGCCCTAAATGCTGCCTGTTTGCCCCCAAAAATGCCACGGCCAGGTGTCAGCGGGGTGCTCCTCATCCACCCCGTGTGGCCCAGGGGCTGCCTGTGGTTCCCATATCCACGGTCCCCAGGGGGAGATGTGGTGGCTCGGGGCTGCCCTCTCTGCACAGGGAGAGGAGAGCAGGGAAAAAGGGCTGCAGAGTGAAAGGGTTCAGGGGAAGGAAGGAGCGTGGGGGGGACACAGCCCGCAGGGAGGCCGGGAACCCCCCCGCAGCCTCCTGGGCTTATTCCTCGCCGCTCCTGCGGTAGCGTTGTCACCTTGTGCCGCGAAGGAGTCATTACGGGAGCCGTGGCGGCGATTGGCTGGCTAAAAATGCCTCGGTAATCTCCGTGCTGATCTTTACCCCCCTCCTCCCCATCTGCCGTGACCTTCCTCCCAATGTGCAGATCCAGCCCGAGCGAGACGGAGCTGACGGCTTCCCCGCCAGCGCCCCGGCCGCCCCCGCTGCCCCCCGGCCTCCGCAGCCCCGCGGCCGCCCCGCGCCCTCCCCTGCTCCCCGCAGCCGCTCGCCCAAGGTACCGGCACGCGTCCCCGGGGCTCCCAGCGCGGTACGGAGCCCACCTGGCCCCCGGGAGGTTGGCGGCGGTGGCAGGGGGCTCGCGGAGGGTGGTGGTGGCAGTGGTGGCCCCGGGAAGCAGACGGGATGCTGGGGTTCAGCACGTCCCCGCGTGCCGCAATGGTGCTGCCACCCCGGGAGCCCCTGCATGGTCCCCAAGCAGGGGAGGGGGATATATTTTGGAGTAGCAGCTCGCTGCCCCTTGTTTTAAGCAATTTCCAAACTAATCTGGGATTGGGGCTTGCTTTCTGTCATGGGTTCACCCCCAAAGTCTGGGCTTGCCAGCTTTTTTGGGTCACAATGAGGGTGCCTCAGGTCTGGGCTCAGCCTCCTGAACCTCCTGGGGAGCTGCTGACGGGTGGGAAACAGCAGCGGGGGTCTTGCTGGGGGGGGCAGACAGAGTCTCTACAGCATCTTGGGGCTCGGAGGACATGGGGCCAGCACTGCTGCACGTCCCCACCCTCGTGCGCCCCGCTCCGTGCGTTACGCAAAAGCTGCATCACCTCCATAGCCCACGCGTCCCTACTGGCCCCCAGAGGAACCTGGGGGGCTGCGGGGGGACCTTGGGGGTTGCGGGGGGATCCTGGGGTTGTGGGGAGGATCCTGGGGGGCTGCTGGCCCCAGGGATGGCTGTGCTCACCCCACCAGGCTGGGGGCTGGCACCGTGGGTGGCTCAGTCGCTGTGCCGCTGGGGGCCCACGGGTCAGCCCGCACCAGGAGCGGGGTCCCTCCGGCTCCCCGTGAATGCACAGAAGAGGGCTGGGAGCCAAAAAGCCGCCCCGAACAGCCTGCGATTGTCAGGGCTGTCAGTGCTGAGCAAGCGACCGCTTGTGCTCGCCTCCCCCCTGCCTCCTCGGTATGCGCTTGGCATCCCCCTACCCGCCTGGGGAGAAACGCGGGATCCTGCCCTCGGCCCTGGGAGCGGGCTGGGTTCGAAGGAACATGTTTTATCTCCTTGTTTCTGCCCCTTTGGGGGAGCAGGGACAGGAACACCCTGAGGAGATGGAGGGGGAAGGCCAAACCTCACAGGGCAGAGCTGGGGAGGCTGCGGTGACCATGGCAGCCCCCAGGGAGAAGTGATCTCCTGGCCCCTCGCGTCCACTGGGGAGAGCTCGCCCTGCCGAGCTGCCCGCGTCCCCTCCTCGCCGTTCTTCCACCTGCCTCAGAAATGGCCAAGTGAGCGCTTCGCTAAACGGATTAGGGCTGCGCCTCCCCCCCGCAACCCCCCCGAGCTGCTCCCACATCCCTCAGCCCTGGCCATAAAACTCGGGGCAAGGCGGCTGCTGCGGCATGGGGCGTCCCCAAGCTCGGGGGGCATGGTGACCCCGCACTGCTGCGTGCAGCAGATCAGCAACGCCCAGCGGAGGCGTGAGGAGAAGCCAGGAAATCAGCCCTTACCCCAGGGATGGTTTTGGTTAGCGGCCCTGCTGGTGGCATCATCGGGCTGTGTCCCCATGCCCTCCTCGGCTCGCTCGGGGACAAGAGCTGGAAAAGAGAGAGGAGAGGCTCGGGAAGAAGATTAGAAATGCCAAGGGGAATCGATCAGCTGCTGGTGACAGCGCTGAGCCCGTCCTGGGGTGCCTGCAGCAGTGTCCCCAGGCCCGGCCCCATCCCCTCCTGGGGTTTTGCCTCTCCCCGCGGTGCCAGGCTGCGTTTACCTAAAAGGATCAGGGCAAACGAGGCTGGGCAGCCCGCAGGCATCGCCTCATCACGTGCATGAAGGCAGGGCGAGGAAGGGATGGTGCTGGGAGCAGCAGCACAGGAGGAAGGTGCCAGCACCAGGGTCACGCGCCGCAGCCAGCCACAGCCCAATTTTGGCTCCCTGCGGGCCGCACCTCACTGGGACCCCCCCGTCCCCCGGTGCTGCTGCTCCTCCTCGGCTGTGCCGGGCAGTGTGTGGGCACCCTGGGGTGGGAGCGGTGCTGGGACGGAGCTGGGCTCTTCCCCTGCTGCTTGGCAGGAGCGGGGACACCTCGCTGACAGCTCTGCCCCACGGACAGACTTTGTCCCCGGCGGGGCAGCCACCGGGGCTGAGATTTGTGCAACAGCAGGGCAAACAGCGAGCCCTGCCGTGCTTTTGTAGGGGAGCCTTGGAGCAGGGAGCTTCCCTATGGGGCCGAGCAGCAGGGGAAGGAGGCAGCGACCCCGACCTCCCCATGGGCTTTATGGCCGCGCTCCCCCCGGCCGCTGCCCGCACCCAGCTCGGCGCAGCGAGGCGTTTTCCCAGGAAAAATGGAGCCTTTATGTCCCCAACACGGCCCCTGCCCCGGATGGGGCTCGGAGGGTGCCTTCGGGGCTGGGTATCTGCAGACAAAAAGGGGATTGTGTCGCTGCGAGCCGGGTTTCTGGCAGCACCTGCCCCGCGCCGGAGCTCTCCACAATGGCTCGCTTTTCTGCGTAATTGCTGCAGAGGGGCCAATTATCCTCCGCCGCTAATTACAGATGCAAAATAGCCCTGCGCTCGCATTCTTCCAGCGAGTCGGGGGGCTCCTGGGACCAGCAGCACATCTGTGGTGGGGGCGAACCCTGGGCACGGGGGCACCCACACCACCTCCTGCCCCCTGCACCCGGTGGGAAGGGCAGGGGAGGGCTTGGGACGAGAGGGGAGGCAGACAGGAGGATGCAGTGCTTGAAAATCCCCCCTTCGTGCTGCAAAGGCTGGCATTCACGCCCCAAAAAAGCGTTTCTCTCCTCCCCTGCAGAGCCGCAGTGCTGCCTGCAGGGCATCCCCGGCCCCACAGGGACCCCGCTCACCCTGGGGCTGCCCGGGCAGGCTGCTGGCAGCACGGCCGGGGATGATTTGCTCCTCGGTTCACCACGGCACTCGAAGAATCATAACTCCAGAGTGCCAAACGGCCCGATAAATCAAGGCTCATTTCCTGCCAATATTGGCCGCCGCTTCCCACGAGGAAACTCCTTTTATCGAGGGGGAAAGGAGAGGTTGTGGGAAATAGGAACCGCCAGGAGGACAAGCGCCAGGAGGAGTTTTGTTGTGGTTTTTGGTGAAGGAGCCAAAATGGGTGAGGGGCTGTGCACATGGGAACCCCCCCAGGTACCGAGGTGCCCCCATCACCAGCTCTCCTGAGTCTGGCTGTGCCTTCTCCCGGTGCTGCAGCCCTACAACACTCTGAGGCCCTTTTTGGCCAGCTGTGAGGCGGGGAGACACGCTCGGCTGGCACGGCGAGCCCCACGGAGCTTCATTAAGGATGGAAGCGCTCGTTAGGGGAAAGCTGAGCCGGGCTGAGCCTCACGGGACCGGGTCGCATTCTGCGGGCAACCCGATCCGGGCAGACGCAGCCCCAGCCAGCCTCGTTACTGCAGCTCCTGCGGGCGGCTTCGGTTACTCGGCTCGACCCGCTCGTCTCCTGCTGGCTTTTAATTTCCCTGACATCACCCGCGAGCTGGGGGGAAACGCAGGCGCGGGGAGCTGGAGAGCCCCTCGGCACCCCAACCATGATGGGCACCCAGCCTCCCGGGGACGTGGCACCCCGTGATAAGAGCCCAGGGCACAAGCTGTAGGGTCTGGGAGGAGGCAGGACCCCGGAGCAGCACCCTGTGGGGCACAGAGCCCCCTTCACTGTTCCTGTCTCTGGTGCCAGCCCCTTCCCAGCTGGCGCAGTTGGTGCGGGGGCGGCACCGGCTGCCTCTCCCAAGGCGTTTTGGGGTTTTGTTTCTGCAGGAGCTCAGCCCTGGAGCCCTCCCTGCAGGGCCAGGGGGAGGAGAGGAGGCAGCGCCCTGCTCCATCCCATCCTGCCCCCTCTGCACGGGGCACAAGGACCCCAAGGGGCAGTGGGGCGAGGATGCCCTTGGGCTCCCCACTCAGCTCCCCCAAAACCGCAGCGCAGCCTAAGGGGGTAAAGGAGCCTGGCCCTGGCCCTACCGGCGCCCCACGGTGACAGCACCCAGCACGAGCTGGTGGCACCCTACTACAGCCTCCCACAGCACCCCAAGGGGCACCCCACTCCGCAGGGCACCCCAGAAAGCGGGTGCTGAGCACCCCCAGCCCCCCGGGAGGCTCCCGCAGCGTTGCAGCACCCCGGGGGGCGCACAGAAAGGCGCGGCGAGCGCCCACCCTGCTGCTACCCGCTGCAAGGGGGTGGCCAACAGCCCAAGGTGTTTTCATGCTGGGGGGGTGTCCACTGCCCCCCCCGGGATGATTTTTGCAACCTTTGCAAGCAGCGGCTCCATCCCTGGTTGTCTTGACAACGGGAGGCTGCAGGCTGGGCGCGCTCCCGCGGCCGCACGCCGCCGCTGCCCGGCTGGTGCTGAGCGCGGCACAGCGCAACGCAGCGTGCCCGTCCCAGCCAGCTCCCCCCCAAAAAAACCCCCCGGACCCTCGCAGCCCCCCCCTGCCCGGCCCAGGTAAGCGGCAGCCCCTCCAGAGGGGGTTTGGCTGCGGGGAGCCTGGGAAGGGAGAGGGGGCAGCGGGGTGTCCCATGGGGATGGGGGTGCGGGGTGCCCGGGTGCCTTGTGTGGTCTGGGGGTGCAGGAGGGGGGGCTGTGAGGGACCAGGTGGGATGGGGCTGGGTTGTGTCCTGCTCTCGAGGTGGGACGTGGTGTCCCCTGCTCTGTTCTGTAAGCTGGGGGGGACACACGGGTGACCTTCAGCCCCAGAGCGCGTCCAGGGGGTGCTGGGGCAGGGGCACGGCCAGGTTTGTGCCTCAGTTTCCCCAGCTGCACACAGAGGGGGGGAGGCAGCAGAGGGGATTTGGGTTGTTCCTGGCACTGCTGCCCCCCTGCCCAACTGAGCGCCTCACCCCACTGCTAAAAAAAACCCTTTTGCCTCCCCCCAACACCCCCCCATTTCCTACCCCATTGCTGAGCCCCCTCTGGCCCCAAGCCTCCTTCCCCTGCCAGAGGCAGCTGAATGCAGCCCCCCCCCCCCCCAGCCCTGCTCCCGACAGCCCCAGGCTTGGCCCCGGTCACCTCCTGCCACCACCAGCCCTGTCCCTGTCCCACCGAGGGGATGGGGATGGGGATGGGACCCCCAAGCCCCATGCTCCAGCTCCCCCCTCCCCAATGCAGAAGCAGGGGGCCAGCAGCACCCACTGTGCCCTCCAGCACCATCGTTTGCTGCTTCTTGGATTACCTGCAAACCTCATTTTGGGATTTCTGCCCAACCCCTGCTCCTGGGACCACAAAATTCCCCCCTTGAGAGTCAGAGCATCCTTGTTTACAGCAGCGAGCTAAGAATGGGGGCTGAGAAAAGCTGCAGAGCCAGGAGGCAGGTCGAAACCCCGCAAGCTGAGGCTCAGAGCAGCTTCCCTTCCCCAGGCCCGAGCATATGCGTGGGGCTGATAATCCTGCTCCAGCTCCCCTCACCCCACAGCCCCCGGAGCCCGGCCACATTCCTGGCACAGCCGCGGTCCCCGAGCCCGGCTGCGAGCTCCCCCGGGGAGAAACTCGGCGTTATCTGCAAATGCCACGCATATTTCCAGAAACCTGCACGAGGCTCGTAAAAATCCCTAGAAGACTTTGATGGGTGCCCCTGCGTGCCGAGCAGGATAACTCCGGGGAGGGGAGGAGGAGGCAGGGGAAGGTTTCTGCAGAGCGCACAGAAGGCGAAGCTGCCCCGGAGCATCTCCCCCGTGCGCAGCCCCCAGCCCAGCAGGACGGGCGTCCCCCCATGGGACACGGGGCTCGCGTAACGTCCTGGGGTCAGGGAACCTCCTCTGCAAACCCTCTGGGTTTTGGGAAGCTGCGAGCCGTGCCCCAGCTGGGTGCAGGCAAGTCCCTGGTGCAAGCCGGACCCCCCCCCCAAGTGCTTGCCCCCCTCCAGCTGGGGCAGGGCACAGCCCCCGGCACATCCTGCGCTGGGTTCCTTGGGAGAGCCTCTCCCCGAGGAGGTTTCCCCCCAATTACCTTCCCCTCGTCCCCGGGGATGTGCTGCCCTCACAGCCACCTCCTGCACCATGGCCGAGCCAGCCCCATGGCACCGCCCTGCCCAAAACCCCAGGGAAAAGCCCCTGGCACTTTGGAGACCCCAATCCCCTCCGCCTGGGTGCTCTCCCCAGGGCTCCAATCCCACCCAGAGCCATCCTGCCAGGACGCAGCCCTGCCGTGAGCTGTGCCCAACCCGCTCCCACCGAGCTGCACTGCTTGGGAAGGGCCCAGGTTCGCCTCCCCCCTGCCAGGCTTTGGCTCAATTTGATAATTAGCGGGGCGGACACGCGCCCAGCCCTTCCCCGGCTTGCTCACGCCTCTCCAGGCTGCTCAGCCCCGAGCCCTGGGCTCTGCTCGGGGTGTGGAGCCGGCTGCCAGCATGAATCAGCAGCACCCAGCCCCTGGAGCAGCCCCGCTGGGTTGGAGACCCGCAGGCTCCCCAAACCTCTGCCACCGCTCCCCAAAGCGGTGCTGGGAGGAGGACACGGCCCCATCCCGCAGCCCCCATCTCCCCGCTGCCCCCTGTGCCCTGCTCCCCCCATCCCATCTCCCCTCTCCCATCACCGGCCCCCTTTTTGGCTGCAGGCAGAGCCCGGCAACCCATCCCTTGTGCCGTGGGGGCAGCGATCCCTGCCTGGTGCTGGGACACCGGGAGGGCAGCGATCAGCCCTTCACCCTCCAGCACACCGTCCACCCAGTCCTCTGGCTGAGCACCAGCTTTGCACGAGGACCTGACATCGTGCTGGGGGGGATCTCACACCCAAATTCTCACAGGAGCAGCACCAAGGTGCTGGTGCCACGGTGCTGGGTGCCCGCGTGCGCACAGCAGGAGGGTGCTGGGTCCTGCCTGCGGTGGATGCAGCATTCCCAGGGCTGCAGGGCCGGGCAGGATGCAGCTCCCGGGGCTCCCAACGGGTTTGCATGTGGTTGGACTCTGCTCTCGGTGCTCCCTCAGCTGCTCCGTGCCGGTTTGTGCTCACCGTGAGCAGTTCCCACGCGGGTATAGTGGTGGGGCTGGCATCTGGTGCTGCACCCACTGAAATAGCAACGCCCAGCCCCACGCTGCAACCAGGGCAGGGAAATAACCTCCCCGCAGCACAGCACCGGAGCTGGGGCTGCTAAAACACAGCCGGAGCCCCTAGTGAAGAAGCCTCACACGCAGCCTTGGCCTTGCACGCTCGCAGAAGGAAGGGGACACACGGCGTCCATCTCGCGTTGCGGCTCCTTGGGAGGGTGCTGCTGGGCTTGCCAGGTCTCGGAGTTTAATTGCAATAAAAGCAGCTCAGGCAATTGGTTCGTTTCCAATTGCCTGAGCTCTCTGCTGTTGGAGATGGCCCTGCTGGGAGGCACCGAGCAGCCACAAGGCAGCAGCACGCAGCAGATCGCACCCCGGCCCCGGCTCACGCGCTCCTGCAGGCGAGGGTCCCCGCGCCCTCGTGGCCGTGGGGCTGGGGCTCTGCGCTGGAGCTGGGACGTGGGGTTTGCAGGAGGGTTTTGCACCAAGGCAGCTCCTTGCATGGCATCAGTTTGGGCTCAGGGGTTGGTGTTGGAGAGCCCCAGGAGCTGCTTGGCTCCTCCGAAATGCTGGTGGAGGGGACCCGGCTGTATCGTGAGCCCATGTTTTGGGGGGGGAGATTGGGTCTGTCCCCACCACCAGGCACTGCTCTAGGGCCCAGCACAGCCCTCGGATGCTCCCAAAATCGAGCAAACCTGGAGAGCAGCTCCAATAAACCTGGAGAGCAGCTCCCATGTCCCCATCGGGCTGGTCCCACCCCAGCCCGAGCTGCACCCAGCCCAGCCCCAGGTGGGGTCAGAGCCCCCCGAGCCCTTTTATTGCCCGTGGGGGCCGTCCCTCCTCCCCGTGCGCTCTGATTCCTGCAGACCAAGCGCAGCTGCCAGAGCGGCTTCCCCCCTTCCCTGGGTATTTTCACCAGGAATTCGTCACCGCCGCCTCTCCTCCCAGCCCTGTCAGCGCTCGCAGCCCCGCACCAGGGCTCAGCCCCAGCTCCTTCTGCATTATCACGAGGTCACCTCCAGCCTGGGGCAGGATGGGGACAGGGACACGGGCTGGGCTCTGCTCCCTTCCTTGCTGCATCTCGCTCTGATCCTGCTTTAGCAAAGGGCTCTGCAGCAGGAAAACCACCTCTGGGAGGCTGCAGAACCCCTCCTGGCCCCCCAGAATTGGGCAGGATGGGGACACCCGCAGATAGCTGCCACCTCCCCGTGCCGTGCCCTGTTCTGGCTGCAGTGGGGCTGGGGCCGTGTCCCAGCGAGGCTGTGCTGGAGGCAGAGCAACCAACCTGCCTCCAGCCCAGCCCCGGGACGGGCAGGTCCCGCCTGGCTCCAGCTGGGCACAGCATCCATCGGTGCAGGGATGCCCGGATCCCGTGCCCGTGGCACCGGCAGCGCCAGCCCTCTGCATTGCAGCAGCCTCCTGCCTGCACGGGAGCAGCACCCTCATCCCCGGCCCCTCTCTGCCAGCTCAGTGCCCGCAGGGGGGCAGGGACCCCCCCCGTGATGCCAGCAGGCTCCATCGGGGAGCTGCGGCACCGCTCAGCACCGAGCGGGGTGCCAGAAAGGATGGAGACACGCAGGGGGACCGGCAGCTGTGGGATCAACCCAAGGACATGCCAGCCTCTGCGTGGGCATGAGCCGAGACAAATTTCAGCGTTGCACTGTGCAAAACCCTCTGTAGCTCCTCTCCATCTGCTTGGGGGGGGGAGAAGTGAAGACCCACACCGCCCTGGGTGCAGCAGCACCCAGCTGGGGCTGGCAGCTCGCCACGGTGTGGCTTGGAAACTGGGCATCGCTGCCAGCTGCCTTGATGTGGGTTTGGGGGCCACGAGGCTGCCCGGGGTGGTGGGCACGGGGCCAGCGTGGAGTGTGTATGGGTTTGGGGATGTGGGGGGCACACGGGGGTGCGTGCACGGCTGCGTGCGTGTGGCGGTGAGAGAGGCAACAAGGCGGCAGCGTGAGCTGTAGCAGTGATGCAGAGCCAAAAATAACCCCCAGGCTGCAGCTCGGACCCGATCACAGCGAGGAGCGAGCTGCGGCAGCCAAACCCCGCAGTGCCCCTCAGCCCCACTGCCTCGTGTGCCCGGGGGTCCCACGGGACCCCCAGCCGGAGCTGTGCTCCCTCCATGGCATCCCTCACCCCTGTCACACTGAGGATGCCCTCGCGCTGCCAGCGCAGCCTCTGCGACAAAATTAAGAGCTGGAGAAGCAGAAACACGAACCCAGGGCGGCCCCGAACACCCCGTGGAGGTGCAGTGGCACGGCTGGTGGGCAGGAAGGTCGGGGACCCCGACCCCTGGGGAGGGCAGGTGGCTGTGCCAGGGGTGCTCGGGTGCTGCGTGGGTGTTGCTGCGCCTCGCTGGGCGCACGGGGCCGGTGCTGGCGGCACCGCGGTCCCCTCCATCTGCGCCTCCGCGGCGGGGCGAGGGACAGTCACGCGTTTATTTTTAACCGTCTGGGGAGGGCGGCGCGGGGATTGGTGGGATTCGTGGTTATATCACTAAATCCCTGCGAGGCTCTGTTAGTTCCAGCACAGCGAGCCCGGCCGCGGCGCTCCAGTAACCATTTCGGCACCCCGTCTGCCCTGTCCCAACGGCTGCTGGGGGCCGGCAGCACGCAGCCGGGGGGAGCGGGCACCCAGCGGGCACCCACCCTTGGGTGGCACCCCGTGTGCCCTCCCAGCCATCGCCCTCTCCCAGGGGCAGGATGTGACCCGGCTGTGATGGTGCGTGGCACCGTGTGGCCCTGTCCCCCCTCCCACAGCCTCTTTGGGGATGGGGCAGGGGAAAATTGGGGTGGTTTTGGCTGCTTTTGGCCACCCTGGTGGCAGATGCCAGGCGGGACAAGCCCAGCGCTTCCCACGGGAGCAGTGTCCGGAGCCAGGACAGGAGGGGTCTCAGTGATGCCCGTGGCTCCCATGGTCCCCTCTCCGTCCCCATGCGGTGCCACCTTGCTGGCCAAGTCCCCAGCCCCACCGGCGTCCCCCAGCCCCAAAAATGCGTCTCCGGGTGGAGCGGCAAAGGGTTAAGCCATGCAGCAGGCCCACGTGACGCCACGGGGATGCCGTTTTTCTGTAGATCAGGACGGATTAGGCTGGAATAACAGGACGAGAATTTCTCCCGGCTGCACTCCCCCCACTCGGCGGCTCCCCCGGGGATGCGCAGTGGCCGGGCCAGAGCCCCCACCGGGTAAGGGCCCCCCCTGCATTCCTCCCCTCCTTTCTCCATCCCAGCAGAGAGGTTTTAGGGTTTCGGTGGCTCTGCGGCAGCTCTGCCTGCCCAGACGTTGCATAAGAAACCCTGAGGCTTGAGCAGGGCTTGGATGCCTGCAGCGGGGTCTGGGTTTTGCATGGCACCGTGGGGGGGGATGTGGGGGGCACAGGAGGGGAGCTGGAACGGCTCTGTCCCCCCTCCCCATCCCCTGCAGCTGGGTGCTCGCCCCGTGGTGCCGCAGGGCATGGGGATGGGGATGGGATGGGGATGCAGCGGGATGGGATGGGGTAGGGTTGGGGGTCTCTGCTCGGCCCTGTGAGGCTGCTGTGACCCCCCCCCCCCCCGACCCTTTTGCTCTCCCCAGTGCATGAGGCTGCTGCTTGCCCAAGAGCCACCGAGCGCCCGCACCGACGGCCGAGGCCGCCCCGGGAGCCATGTCAGGGTTCCTACGACGAGTCGGCGGCGGCCGCCGAGGAAACGACCGACAGCTTCTGGGAGGTGAGCCCCGGCCACCCCCCTTGTCCCCGCGGCGTCCCCGTTAGCCATCACCACCATGGGCAGTGCCCCCCTTTCCCAAACCCAGCCCTGCGCGGGCATCCCTGCCGCGGTGTCCTTGGGGGGGGCTGCAGGAGGTGCTGCCCCGCCGGCCCTTGGGGAGGGAGAAGATGAGAGGAGGTGGCTGGGAGCAAAACCTCCATCCCTGCACCCCCCTGGGGCACCCCCGGGCACTGCTCCCACGTCTGCCTGTCCCTGTCCCCATCCCCATATTGGTTCTCATCCCCATCCCTGCCCCCATCGCTGTCCTCATCCCCGTCCCTCTCCGTGTCCCCATCTGTTCTCATCCCCATCCTTCTCCCCATCCCCATCTGTTTTCATTCCCATCTCTCTCCTCATCCCCATCCCTGTCCCCGTCCCCGTCCCCGTGCCAGGTGGGGAACTACAAGCGCACGGTGAAGCGCATCGATGACGGGCACCGGCTCTGCAACGACCTCATGAACTGCGTGCACGAGAGGGCCAAGATCGAGAAGTCCTACGCCCAGCAGCTCACCGACTGGTCCAAGCGGTGGAGGCAGCTGATCGAGAAAGGTACCGCGGGGAGCCGGGACCCCCGGGGGCCACGGGAGGGGGGTCGGGGCCGCAGGGGGTGCTCACCCGTCCCCTCCGCCCCCCAGGCCCGCAGTACGGCAGCCTGGAGAGGGCCTGGGGGGCCATCATGACGGAGGCGGACAAGGTGAGCGAGCTGCACCAGGAGGTGAAGAACAGCCTGCTGAACGACGACTTCGAGAAGGTCAAGAACTGGCAGAAGGACGCCTACCACAAGCAGATCATGGGAGGCTTCAAGGAGGCCAAGGAGGCCGAGGACGGCTTCCGAAAAGCGCAGAAGCCCTGGGCCAAAAAGCTCAAGGAGGTGAGAGGAGAAGCACGGCGTGGGACCCGCGGGACCCCCGGGTCCCTGCTGTCCTCACGTCCCCCCCCCTCTTCTCTCCACAGCTGGAGACGGCCAAGAAAGCCTACCACCTGGCCTGCAAGGAGGAGAAGCTGGCCATGACCCGGGAAGCCAACAGCAAGGCGGACCAGTCCAACACCCCCGAGCAGCAGAAGAAGCTCCAGGACAAAGTGGAAAAGTGCAAGCAAGACGTGCAGAAGGTGCGAGCCAGCAGCGCCGCGGGGCAGCTCAGCTCCGGGCTCACGCAGCATCGGGCACCAGAAATGGCCATTTGTTCCCCATTTATGGCCATTTGTTCCCCATTTATTCCCATTTATGGTCTTTTATTCCCATTTATGACCATTTATTCCCTTATTCCTGTCCCTGTGCGTCTGCACAAGAAGTGGCTGGGGTGTGCGAGCAGGGCAGAGATTTGCCCCTCTTGCTGGGGTGAGATCTCTCCCTCCGCCAGGCTGATTTTACCCTGCGGAGGCTTTTGGGGTGCTGGTGTAACCGGGGCACCCCCCCTGCGCCTTGCAGACTCAGGAGAAGTACGAGAAGGTGCTGGACGAGCTGAACAAGTGTACCCCGCAGTACATGGAGAGCATGGAGCAGGTCTTCGAGCAGTGCCAGCAGTTCGAGGAGAAGAGGCTCAACTTCCTCAAGGAAGTGCTGCTGGACATCAAGAGGCACCTGAACCTGGCCGAGAGCAGCAGGTAGGTGCCCCCCCGGCTGTCTGGGCAGAAAACACCCGTGTAAGGGCCAGAAAGCAAAGCAAGCCCTGGGTGCTTCCAGGAAAACCCATCCCCTGCGGCACCAGGGGGCTCTGGCCAACACCGTGGGCACCTTGAGGTGCCAGAGAGGTGTCCCCTGGTGTCCCCTTGGAGGTGCCACAACTTCAGACATCCCCACCTCGTCCCCACTGCTGGGGTTCCCCAGGGGGGGTCCATCCCGCAGCCCCCCACCCCTCGCCTCTCCCCACAGCTACGCCAACGTCTACCGGGAGCTGGAGCAGACCATCCGCCTGTCGGACGCGCAGGAGGACCTCCGGTGGTTCCGCAGCACCAGTGGCCCCGGCATGGCCATGAACTGGCCCCAGTTTGAGGTGAGGCTCAGAAACCCCCCCCCCGGGATGGGCACCAGCAGCCCCCCACATGGCGGCAGGGTGCTGAGCGCCGGCGCTTTGTGCTCCCAGGAGTGGAACCCGGACCTGACGCACACGATAGCGAGGAAGGAGAAGATGAAGAAGGGCGAGGGGGTGACCCTGACCAACGTCAGCTCGGGGGAGACCGGCGCGTCGGCGGGCGAGCGCGGGAGGTGAGGGCTGTCGGGGAGCGAATTTTTGGTCCCCCCACGTCTCGCTGGCCGTGCCCCCATCCCCAAAAACTCAGGAAATCCGCAGCACCCACCCAGATTTTGGTGTCTCCCAGTGCCCAAATCCCCTCTCCTTTCCCCCCCAGCGTCAGCAGCCACGACCGCGGGCAGACCTACAGCGCCGAGTGGTCCGACGACGAGGGCAGCAACTCCTTCAACGCCAGCGAGGCCAACGGGGGCACCAACCCCTTCGACGAGGACTCGGCGGGGAAGGGCGTGCGGGTGCGGGCGCTGTACGACTACGACGGGCAGGAGCAGGACGAGCTCAGCTTCAAAGCAGGTGAGGATCCTCAGGGTGCTGGGCTGTCCCGCGGGGCGTCTGCCCGAGCTGCAGGTCTCCCGGTTGTGTTTTTTGGTGTAAAACGCCCCGAATTGTGTCGGGGTTGTCCTGGCTCTTCAAAACGTGGGGGTGGCAGAGAGGGGAAGGCACGACCCAGGGTGGGGCTGAAGGGGAGGTGGGACAGGGCACATGAGGTCTCACGGGGCACCTTTCCGCCCTGCAAACCTGCTCAGGATCAGTCCCAAAACCCCCAGCAGCCCCACCCAGGGGAGAAATTTGGGGAAGGAGAGACCCCAACACCTGCCACGAGCTCTCACCTCTCTGCCTCCCGCTCCAGGCGATGAGCTGACCAAGCTGGGAGAAGAAGACGAGCAAGGCTGGTGCAAGGGGCGCTTGGACAACGGGCAGCTGGGTCTCTACCCCGCCAACTACGTGGAGGCAATCTAAGTCTTGTGGTGTGCTCCTCGTCGCTGTCCGCAGATAAATCCACCCTCCGTTGTCTCATCTCTCCGCCAGCCAGCCAGCCATCTCGCCGTCCGGTCCGTCGCCCCTCACAGTTAGAGATTCAGACATATTTTCCGACCAAGCTTTTATTTTTTTAAGAGTTGTCTCCGAAGAGTATTTTGCATAGCCGCTTTTCTTCTTCTTCTAAGATAACGTGAAGCGAAAGATGACGTTGTCCGTGCTGCGTTAGCTGATTTGCCGAGCGAAAAGCCGATACCTCAAGATCTCCAAGCCCAGCCGGTGACAGCCCCTGGCTGGTGGCTTTTACAGACACTGACACCCTGAGCCGCCCCACGACCGGCTGCAAGCGCTCCGAAATGCACGGCGCTGAAGCTCCTGGGACCAACCTAATTCGCCCCCCTGAAAATGAGAGGGAATGGGGTTTTGCTCCATTTATTTTTTGGCTGTTCTGTGTTCTCCCCGAGTCCTCCTCCATCCCCGAAGGAAGGGGACCAACGTCCCCCCCTACCCCGCAGCCGCCTGTCCCCATCCAGGGGCACCGAGCGAGGTGGGACCAGCCCCAGCATGGAGCTTGGTGGCATCTCTCCAGCTTCCTCCTCCTCCTCCTCCTCCTCCTCGTGGCCGGGTGCTGCCACCACGCTCCAAGCCAATGCCCTGCCTGTGCTGCAGGGAGCAGCAGCGGCCTCCACAAGGGTATTTATCCCAGGTCAACCAGATCCTAAAAGCGCTGCCGCTTCCCCGAGGACCTCTCCACAGCCCCACGCTGCCACCAGCGCCCCGCAGCCAGCCCAGGATCTCGGGGACCCGCTGGGGACCATCCCCTCCGACCCCTTCTTGAGGTCTGGCACATGAGGGATGGGAGCAGGGGCAGGGGGACACCCTCCAGGCTCACCCCATTCCTGCACCTGGGCTCTGGGAGCAGCATCAGCATGGGCCGGAGCCCCCTCATGCACCCATGGGTGCCCCCGCACAGCGCTCTCACCCCACCCCTCTTCTCTGATCATTCCATTTTTTTCCACCCACCACCCTCAGCAGCATCAATGCCGATGCTTTCCCTGTGTATTTCCCCCTCTCCTCGCCTGCCCGCTCCGTCGGCTGGCGAATTTTTTGGCCCCAGGGACCGGGCGCTCCCCCGGGAGCAGGGAGCGCAGCGCCGGGCAGCGCCAGCCCCTGCCAGGTACACGAATGGGAAACAAGAAAAAAAAAACAAAAGTCAGAAAAAAACCTAACCGACCACCTGTCTCAGCAATGCACCCCGGTTTTTTGTACATTATTTGTGTAATTTAAGAGGTATATATATAATATATATATATATTGTGATCGTATTACCGTGGATACAACAACTAAAGCAGCAAGAGAAAATAACCGAGCTCTGTAAGCGTGCTCCGGGTCTGGGTCCTCGTTTGCGTGCGCCGATCTGGAGGCAACTCTGGGGGTCACAGACCCTAAACCCCAAAACTCTGGGGGTTACAGACCCCAAACCCCAAACCTGGGGCAAGCCCCCGAGCCCCCCTCATCCCCCCAGACCCAGCCACATCCCCAGCAGCCCCAGGTAGGGGTACCCCGACCCTGAGGCTTTGGGGTGCTGCAGGACTGGGGCTTGGTCCTGAGCATGCAGCATCCTGTGGGGAAGGGGCTGCCTTTGGGATTAGCTGGGAAAGGGCCTGGGGAGCCGGGGTCTGGTGGTGTGGGGTTGGGGAAATCCCTGTGTCATGCACGTGGTTGGGGTCCTGGGGGCTGCGGGAGGGGGGAGCTGCTGTTTTGGGGTGTGCCGACCCACTGGGCAAAGCCTCGAGAAGCCTGCAGGGGGATTCAAGGTAAACCTGCTTTTGGGGAGCATCCCCAGGGCCAGCAAAGTGCTTCCAGTCTGACCAGTGCTTCCCAGTAGAAATGGGAGATGGGGAGGCCCCAGAGCAGCGAGCCGATGCTGGCACAGCGGGCAGAGCCCTGCTGCAAGCCTTAAAACCTTGGGAAAATCAACCTGTAGGTCGCCAGCCCCTTTCCCATGCCCAGAGGGCCAGGGCCGCCCTGGGAAAGAGCAGCAGCTGCATGCAGCGGGGTGGAGGGAGCGGGAGAGGGTGGGGGAATGGGATTTATCCCCTATTTATGGGCTGGAGCAGCCAGGGCTTGGGGACAAACCCTGCGGTGCCGGCTGCCTGAGCGCAGAGCTGCTCCTGCGCCCACTGAGAGCAGCAGCAGTGAAACGACCCCAGGTGAGAGGACAAAAAGGGTTTTTCTGGGCTCACAGCTGACATTTCCCCTGCTTCTCTGCAGGGCTGGGACCCCGGTGTCCCCCCGAGCTGCCAGGAAGGTGGTCAGCCCCTCTGGGGGGGCCGGCAAAACGCCCCGTGCCTCCACGCACCCTGGAGCTGCCTCCCCAAAATGACTCATTCTGGGTGGGATTTTGGCACAGGATTTGGGGACCACCACTGAAGCCACCCTCAGGGTCTAACCAGCACCTCCAGCACCTCCCCGACACACGAAAATCACAAGACACATTTCACTTTTTCCCCCATTTCTTTTTTTTTTTTTTTCCTCTTTTCCAGAGGCGAAGGCTGCTCTCCTCCTTCCCCTGCTCCTCCTCGCCGTCCTCCAGGAGCTTCAGCCTCCATCCCGGCTGGGAGGCTGCGAGGCCGTTCAAAGCAAGTCCACTCCTCCACGTGTGAGCAGCACCAAACAGGCAGCCCAAAAAACCTCCAGGCAGCTGGGTTCAGTTAAACACAAAGGAGCAGCCCAAACGCCCGGGCTTTCTTCTTTTAAACCCGCCCAAAGCATCTCGCAGGTCTCCGGGCCTCCCTCCCTCCTTTTCCGTTTGAACCTGAACCACAGCTTGCTGCCAGCCAAAACCAGAAAGAAAAATAAACAAATAACAATTATAATATAAAAGGTCAACATTGCCAGGTAACTTAGACCCTTGTGAAATGTGCAGCTCCAACAGTCCCTGGCTTTGCGTCCAGGTCCTGGCTCAGAGAGCGGCGCTTCGGATCCGTGTCCCGGAGGGAAGCAGCAGAGCTGGCAGCTCCCTGTTCCTAAAGGCAGGATTCGGGAGGGCAAAATAAAACCCCAAACCGAGGGAGGAGCCCAGGGCTGGGACCTGGGGGCTTTGGGGATCCCCGTGGGGCTGGGGACCTGGGGTCAGAGCCGAGATCCCGAGCCCACAATTTGCTCCTGTTGGGAAATGCACGGCGCAGACGGCGGCAACACAGTGAGTGGGGGACGCCTCCCTCCCAGGGCCTCGAGCCCACCAGTCCCACTGGGAACCCACTGGTGGGTACAGGTGGCCCGGAGCTGGAGGGATCCCCCCTTAGGGCAACACCAACGTGCCCGTCCCTGTATTACCCAGCTGCTCCAGCACGGGGCAGATCCGCAGCCACCAGCCCCACTCATGCCCCGTGCCCAGGTTTGTCCTCCCCTGCCACCTGCAGCCCCTGCCTGGGGTCATGGGACGAGCCTCGTTGCTATTCCCTGAGGCCCAAAATTTGGGTGGTCCCAGTCTTGGCACCTCAGGGCTGAGCTGCAGCAAGGGGCAGATCCCCCCCTGCCCCATCCCCTACAGCCAGGAGCTGGGTTTTGGGGTGAATCCGGAGCAGTGCATGGGGTCACCAGTGCTGAAGGGGACAGGTCCCACAGCCTGGCCCTGTGGTGGCATGGGGACAGGGTCTGGCTGTAGGGGAGCGTGGTCCTGGTGGTCCCCCCCGTGCTGGGACAAGCGATGCCGTGAGGATTTTGGGGTCTCCTGCTGGGGGCTGCTCTTGGCCCCGTGTCCTGCTGATGCCCAAGGCTGCAGAGGAGGGAGGACGGCGCGTGGGGACAACAAGACACCCGCAGGCAGGACAGCGGGGTGTCCACGCTCCCACCCTGATCCCTGCTGAAAGGCACCAAGGCTTCGGGCAGCCCCCACCCCAACCACAAACACATCAGCCCTTATTTTGTCCCGGTCATGCCCCTGTCTCCTCCGCCTGCCCCAAAATCCACAGCCACCCCCAGCCAGGAGACGAAGGCTCCGTGCAGGGTCCTGGCCCCGGAGCCGGGCATGCCGGGGGTGGCCTCGGAGCTGGGGGCTCGTCCCCACTCCAAGGCTGGGGTCTGGGCACGGGGGGGTCCCTGTGGTCCGTGTCCATCGGGGTCGAGCCTCCCGGTACCCCAGCCCCGGTCCTTAAGCGCTGGATGCTGGTTCGTGAAGTCAGGGAGGCAGAGGGAGGTGGCGAGGGGGGGGTCCCCTGCCCCTCCTGCGCCGCTCAGACCGGGTGCACGAACTGGTAGACGAGGCGCTGGGAGATGTCGGGTTTGCGGATGATTCCCTTCTTGTAATACTGCCGGATGGAGCGGCTCAGCTTGTCGTAGTTCATGGCCGGGCGGTTCTTCCGGATGCCCCACAGACGAGCCACTTGCGCCGAGTCCTCGATCTTGAAGATGCCTGCGAGGGGAGCGGGGACGGGAATTTTGGGGTCACCACCTCGCCCCCTTCTCTGATCCCATCGCACCCACTTGCCCGCACGCCCACCTTTCTCCTTGTTGAGCCAGCGGATGAAGCGCCCGTAGTTGTGGGGTTTCAGCAGCAGCTCCTTGAGGAATTGCCAGAGGTGGATGGGCTGGCCGGCGCAGGACGAGTCCACCTCGCTGTCCGCCCAGCTGGTGTCACCCCCTGGAAGGGACAGGGACAGGTGAGGCCAGGGAGAGCGACCCCGCTGCCCTCACTGCCCGGGGGCTGCCAGAAAGCCCAGCTCGGTGCCTGCAGCTCCATCCACAGCCCAGGGCTGGGGCTGGGGGCACGGCTTTCTGCTCCGTGCAGCCCTCCTGCAGCCCCACAAGGACGCACGGCTGCAGGATGGGGCCGGTGCAATTCTTGCAGCTTTTCCCCCTTTGCTGCACCACGCAGAAGCCCTCGGGCAGAGGGAACGCAATCCCACGGATGCCACCACGAGGGATAACTGCAACTCAGCAGGGAGCAGCCTCTCCAAAACCCCAGACCCACATCAAGAGCCGGGCTCCCTGTCCAGCTGAGCCCGTGCAGAACTCACCGCAGTATCTGACATCCCCCGGGGCAGCTTTTTCCTTCATCCACGCAGCTGGAAAGGAGGAGCAGGCAGTCAGAGAGCGTCTCCCCCAGCACAGCACCACCCTCTCCGGGCTCCCCCAGGTCCCCAGCACCTCACCGGACTTCCAGATGTCGAGGTGAGCGTGGAGGACGTCGCCGCAGACGGGCGAGCGCTGGCAGAACTGCTCCTCGGACATGGCGCACAGATCCTTCCCCGACAGCTCCTGGAAGGACTTCCCGATCTGCGGCAGCCGGTACTGGTGCTCCGTCCACAGGATCCACTTCTGCACGTTGCTGGGGCTCCAGTCCGCGGGGTCTGGGGTCGGGGCCGGGCGGTGAGCGCAGCCCCCCCAGCCCCATGCAGGGGCACCCCGCTCTCAGCCTCCCCCAGCACCCCGTGGTGGTGGGACCGTCCCCGTGCCACCTCCCTCACTTTGGGGACCCCCCCTCCCTGCACCACCCCAAATCCTTTAGGGGCCGGGCAGCCTGCACGGAGCTGCGCGCATCCCCAAGCTGCTGGCGTTGTGGCGGTGACACCCCAAGCAGCTCCCTGCTCCAGGCTGTCCCCAGCCTCACCCACCCATCCAACTGCACCCAATTTCCCAGGAAAAATGGGATTTTAAAGAGTCCTGCCTTTTTCTCCCCGTTTCCCTCCTGGTTCCCTGTCTGCAGCACCCCGGGGTGACACCAGCACTCCTCAGCAAGGGCTCAGCTTCTCCCCGAGCCACCAGGGGTGAGGGGTGTTTTATTTTAGCAAGCAGCCCCGTCCTGGAGTGACGCTTGGGGTTGTGAATGCATCAGGACCTGCAGCCCGGGCACATCCCTCCCAGGATGGCACCGACCCTGCTCCCACCCCATGGGAAGGGTCGGGGGCACCCCGTTGGGCGCACACCCACCTGCGGCGATGTTGAGGAGCTTGCAGGCCGTCTCGATGTCCTTCAGCACTTCGCCCACCACCATGCTCTGCATCTGCTCCAGCGAGTGCTCCTCCAAGGGGAGGCCTCCTTGTAGGTCCCCTTCAGCCCCCAGCCCCAAACCCTGGCTGTCGATGACCGGGCACTGCTCCGGCTCCTTCTGCGCCTCGCCTCGCCCCGCGGGGGCACCGCTCTGCGACGTCTCCCCCGTGCCCTTGGAAGCCCAGGCGATGTCCTCCGAGTAGAGCATGTCGAAGTAGTGGAGGCAGAAAGCTTGGAGAGGCTGCTCGGGGGTGCTGGGGGGGCTGGGGCTGTCTGGGCAGCCCCAGGGGTGGGCGCTGTGGTCCCAGGGGGGTGGCAGGGGGGCAGCGTCGGGCCGGGCGAGGCGGCCGGGGGGCAGAGCGGTCAGCCCGGGGCCGGCGCTGCCCATGCCTCCTGCGCTCAGCGCTGGCTCCGGACCTGCCGGGAGGGGAGGAGAGGAGAGGCTCAGCCCCGGCGACAGGCACAAAGGGAGGCTCTAAGCCTGTTAGAGGGGAAAAAATCCTCCAAAGAGACACCGAAGGGGAGCCCTCGGATGAAGGAGGGCTCGGGTTTATCTGGGGGTGCTGGGGGATGTCCTGTTTTACCGGGGGAAGGAGCCCGGGCACTGCGGGATTTGGGGTTTTCTCATGATTTGGGCACCAGGCTTGCAGCAGGAGGGTCCCAGCCTAGGCTGGAGCCCTTGCACAGGACCTGTAGGGTCCCCAAAGCACCTCTGCAGGGCGGCCCGTGGGTGTTAAAGGGCGGAGGATGCCTAAACCACGCAGGCAGGTGGGTGTGCGTGGTAAACATCGCCTGCTGCTTCCACCCGAGGGTGTCCTGGTGGTGATGGGCACCCGGAGCTGCTTCTCCCCGGGCACCTGGCCTCAGCCACCTGCTGCCAGCCCCCGGACCAGAACTTTCTTTTTGCTCTCCCACAAGAAAAAAGTCCCCGAATCGGCCCGTCCCCATCTGTCTCCGGTACGCTGGGGAGCCCTGGAGGCTGCGGAGAAGAGGATGAGCCTGCTGAATTTCCATGGCAACACCAGGGAACGGCTCCATCCGTGGAGAAAGCTCCCCGAGAGGCATCCGGAGGCTTTGGGAAGGGAAAGATGCCACGAGGGGAGAGGCTGGGGACAGGCACGGGAGGGCCAGGGCACTGCCAATCTCCTCACCTGCCTCGGGGCATTTCTCTTCACAAATAAAATAAAAATAAAAAGTCTTGGGGCTCTCTAGAAGCACAAGAAGTAGCATCACTGCTACCAGCTGCTACCCAGCTTTTGCAACACGAAAGGAGCCCACAGAGCCTGGACCAACCCCAAACCACCAAGACCCCAAAGGGACCCAAGGAAACGAGGCAAAGGGGAAGGGGGCAGAGCGGCTGCTGTGAGGTGTTTCCCCATCTCTTCTAAATCCCAGTGAGGGGAAAAGGAAGGGTTTAAAGGAATAACGAGGAAAATAGGCCCTGGGAGTTCCTGCAATCCTACAATATCTGCAGGAGTCCCTTCAGCCCAGGTGGCTGAGCCGTTGTCACCGTCCCCACAGCTCCTGGCGTGCCAAAAACCTGCTGAAACCCCACTCATCTCCACACCGCTGCTCCCCCTGTAGCTGGGCACGGGGCTGCTCCCAGAGGCAGTGTGGGGGTCATTAAACCTCGTTAACAGCCCCCAGTTAGGCACCACAGCCCCGGCAGGGTGACGGGGAGGACCGGCCACATGCTGCACACAGGGAGGTGTTTAAACCTTGGCAAAACCCTAAAAAAATTTTGGGAAAAACTCATGGAGGAGCCGCGGGCACCCAAAGAGGAGGGGGAGGAAGCCGTGCCGGGCACTGCGGGGCTGCTCCCACCTCCCGGGCAGTTTCCCTGAGAGATGGCGCCCGCTTCCAAACCTCTCGTTTATTTGCTCAGGATTAAAGGAAGAGCTTTAAGAGATCAGCCTTAAATCCAGCCCCACGCTGCTGCCGGCACAAAGGAGACGCGGCAACAGCTTGCGCAGCTCCAGCCTGCAAAGCACCGCCTGTGGGACGGGGACGAGACCCCTCTGGGGCACACCGGGGCTGGGGGCTCCTCCGTGCCCTCCCCTGGGACCCGCAGCCCCCAGGCAGTCCCCTCCCTCGGGCATCGAGCTGCCGCAGCCACGGGACGGGCACGAGGAGGAGCAGGAGGGAGGCAGCGGGGTGGCGGCAACGCAGCCGTCCCCATCCCGTCCCCTCCTTCCCCAGCTGGGACAAGAAGGCCCCGATCCCTTGGGAAAGTGGCCCCGAAAGCCTGAGCAATCATCCGACAAAACGTGCTGTACTCTCAGGGCGGGGGCCTTTGTTTGACTTTCTCCCGCTCTGGCACGCAGGCGGCCGGGCTGGGTGGGGACCTGTTTGCTCTAAGAAGCCGTTTTGGGAGGGTTTTTTTTCCCCCTTTCCTCTCCCTTTTTGCTTTTCCCTGGAAAACGAGAGCCGGAGGTGCATCCCGGGGCACCGAGATGCTCATGGGGAGCACCGACACAGCACGGCTCCCCAAAACCCCTCCGTGCTCCCCTCTGGTTTATTTGGGGCCACCCCGGCAATCCCAGTGGCCCCGCCGTGCGCTCCCTGCCCTGCGCGCACGCTGCCAGCGCCCGCAGCTCGCCCTGCGGCGCAGCCACGCCAGCCTGGCCCCGCGCTCGTCCTGCTGCTCGGGGCGAGAGAGGAAGCGATTAGGGACTTAGCTCTTGCGACACTTTTTAAACAAACAAGTGCCACCGAATTCGCAAAGCCCGCCGGGCTTCCCAGGCTCCCGGGTGCGCGGATTCGGGCGCACGGCCCCACCACGCAGCCGGGTGCCCGCAGCGCGGAGGAGAAGCTCCGGGGCGTGGGGAAAAGGAGCAGCCCCCAGCCCAGGATGGAGCCCCCAGGGATTTTCTCAGGTCCCGGAGCAAAACTCAGCCACCCAGCCCTGAAAGGATGAGGGACCCTGCGCTGGGCCATGCTGCGGACACCGGTGGGTGGCAGCTCGGATGGGTGCGGGGTGCCCCTGCTGCGCGCTTTCCCCAGGCCCCAAGGGGATGCACGGCACGGGCCGAGCTGACAGCACCAGGGCTCGTTTCCCATTGCTGCCTGGCAGAGCCTGGAGCAGAGCAAGGAGGAAAACTCTCCTGTGTAGCACGGCAGCGGCCACAGCTGAAGGGCACCGCAACAGCCCAGGTCCTTCTAACCCTAACGTCACCTTCCCAAATCACCGAGAAAACCAAGCGGTGCCTTCCCTCGGAGTGAGAAGCACCGGGGGGCTGCAGGGCTCTGCCAGGTGCAGGGTTTGGGGCAGCGCCGGGTCCCTGCTGGGCTCAGAGCTCTGCCCCTGCTGCCATCCACCCGTCTGGGTCTCAGCCCCATCGGGGGCTCGGTGAGGCTGTGGCTGAGGGGGGTGAGGACGGGGACAAGGACCCCGCCTGCCGTGCCCCAGAGCTCTCTTGGCAAACGCGACCCGCAACTGCACACAGCGGTGACACCTTCACCTTTCAGAGGATTGGCCTTTGGAAGCAAGGGAAATTAAAAAAAAATAATAAAAAAATAATAAAAAATAATAAAAAAAATCCACCCCCACCCTCGAACAATGGGCCCGTTAATTACGACTAAATCCGCGGTTGAACAGGTTGTGCCGGAGCGCGGCTCAGGAAGCCCCGTGGGACCCGCGCAGGTTGGCCAGGCACAGAGGTGGCGCTGCCCGAGGCACCCAGGATGTCCCCAAATCCTCGGGCACTTCCGAAAGCCCTCCCCGGGCTTGGGATGTCCCCAGATCCTCCTGCAGGGCTGTGGGAGCTGAGAGCAGGCAGGGCAGGGGGCAGGCAGTGGGATGGGGACGGGGACGTGCTGTGCCACCAGGTCCCCACCGGCAGCACTTCCCCTTAACTCATCCTTTGGGCTTCCCCCTCCCCATCTGCCTTCAGCTGACAGCCTGGGGGTGGGTGATGATGGGGGACCCAGCGACCCCCTCTCTGCCCCCAAGCCCCTTTAAACCTTCAGCTTTCAGGGTTTCCCGTTATTTTTCCCCGGCAGCAGACACCGGGGTGCTCAGAGGCAGCTCCCAGCACCGCGGGGTCCCACCAGCACGTGCCACCCCCCCCCCCGAGCCACCAGTCCCGTCTTGGTGGTACCGTGCACCCCCCTCACCTCTGCGCACAGGGAGGGGGGATTTGCCAAATGGGGCTCGGGGCTTGGGACAGGCACTCGTGGAGACGTGATGGATCGGGGTCTCGCTATGCCAAGAGACCCCCACTCGGGGCAAGCCCACTGCACAGAGGGGATGAAGCCCACATCGGGGTCCTGCAGCCCCCCAGCTGCCCCCCAGCCTCCTGCTGTGCCCCCCAGCCCCCTCCCCAGTTACCTGCATGGGTGCTGGCATGGGGACCAGCGTCCCCACGGGTGCCTGCGCCCCAGGTCAGGCTGCCCTGGCCACTGGCGCAAGGAGGCAAACAGCAGCGGGGAGGGGGGGGCTGGCACAGCCCGCTGGGGGCCAGAGCAAAGCCCCGGTGCTCGGTGTCCCCCAGGTGAGCAGCAGAGCTTGGTGTTCCCCATGCAGGGCCAGGGAGCCCCTATTTATAGCAGCACGTTCCTCCCCCGGCGGCTCCCTGCCCATGAGAAAGGCCGTATTGTGGGGGATTTGGCAGCCGAGTGGCGTTTGTCTTTCACCAACCGAGCATAACCATAAAAACCGAACCTAGAGCCAATGTGCCTTGAGCACTGGAAAAAAAAAATATAAGATCCAGAAAAGCTCCGCAGCTCCAACAAGGCGCGGGGCTGATAAAAGGGCTCCAAGCACTTTGTGGGTGCCCCTCAGCTCACAGCACCTCGCTGGCAGCCCGAGACCTCCATAAAGGGTGCCAGTTCCCATCGCTCATGTGGTGCCCCCAAAATTCATCATCCCCCAGCCTCCCAGGGGGTGCAGGGCTCTGCGGGACCTTCTCTTGTTGGGGAGGTGGCACAGGGACCGTGGTGGGTGCTCAGGAGGTGCCCTGGCTCCCCATCCTTACTCCAGGAATTCGCAAACCCTCCTTGATTTCGGGTGACACCACCCCAAGAAGCCCCAGGAGCCTCACACCAGGGGACAGCCACGTCCCCACAGAGCCCTGACGGCGGCAGCAGGAGCCGCAGGACGGGATGCCCACAGGGGACATCCCCAAACCCATCCCAAACCGGTGCCAAACCTCCCGGGATCACAGGAGGGGGCTCACCAAACTGTCCCACGGGAAGGACGGGGATGGTGAGGGGGGGGTCTTACCTCGAAGGGGCAGCTCAGAAAAGGCATCGGTCCCGGCGGCGGGCGGGCAGAGCCGTCCCTGGGGTGCTCGGCACGGCGGCCGGGGTGGGCATGGCCCGCAGCGGGGTGCCCCGGTGCCAGCGGGGGAGGGCGGGCAGCAGCACCCTGCCCGGCTCAGCGCGGTGGCAGCGCGGTGGCCAGGAGGAGCCGCATCGGCTCCGGGCACCCAGCACGGGGACGGTCGGGGACGAGGCTGGGGCGCACGTGGCGGTGGCCGAGGGACGACGGTGGTGGCCGCGCCGAGGGACGCGAGGGGGACGGGGGCAGCCAAGCCGAGCGCAGGTCGGTCAGCAAATGCCTCCTTTGGCCATTATATCTAATTCCTTCCTTATTTACCTGAACAAACAGGCTGTGTGCTTACCTCAGCTGGAGGTGTTTGAACAGCCCAAGCGGGGTTAACCCTTGAGGGGTGCAGCGAGGTGCCGGGCTCAGACCCAAAAGGGTCCCAGGAGGGGAGCGGAGCAAATCGGGCACCGTTAACCCCTTCCCACCTGGGACACCCATGCAAGGGATGGGGATGCCACGCAGGGCAAGACCAAAGGCTCCTTTTGGGGCCTGGACCCTGAGGCACAGAGACCCTCTGGGTGCACGGCAGTGCTTGGCAGAAGCCCGTGGCACGAAGCATCCCCCGGGGTTTTGGGACCAGGAGCATCACCAGTGATTTGTGCACCGGCACAGCCACATGCGGCTTGCAACAGAGGCAGCAGGCTGCGAGCGAGGATGCTCTGAGCCACCAAGGCCATGGCCACTCGCTCCGTTCACCAGCCCAAAATTGCAGGGAAGGAGCTCCAGGATTTGGGATTTGGCACCTTCTCCTCCCCAGGTCCATGCTGCTGCTGCGTGCGGGGAGGAGCAGGGGCGCTGGGGGCACAGCGGGAACGCGCAGCGCTCCGGGCCCGGGTTGTCTGCACCGGCAAAAGCAGGAAAAAGCTGTTTTGACCGAGACAGACCCCGAGCAGGTATTTACTGTCGTTTTTTAACCACGTAAAGAACGCGGGGTGGTTCAGGCGGTTCTTCCTGCGCACGCAAAACCGAACTCTCCCATGCCCTAAAACCCCACGATTTTACTGTGTCAGCCAAAAAACCCAGGCACGAACACCCCGGTGCAGCCTGGATGCATCCCACGCTGGCCGGGACCCACGTCACCGCATCCAGGGGGGGGTTTTGCAGCCCCATCCCGCTCACCCCGTAGCAGCCAGCCGATAAGTGTCCACCGGCGATGTTTGCCTGGAGGAGGGAGGAAAACAAAACCCCGTCGGAAGGCGGTCGGTGTGTTAATGTTATCTTATCCCATGGAAAACATTGCCCCCAGATTAGGGCTCCTGCCACCCGAGGTGAGTTTTCTCCACTGTTTTGGTAAATAGGGCCAGGTCCGTAACACATGGCGGCGGCGCAGGGGGGAGATGGGGGCTGGGAGGATGTGGCCCTGCTGGGGAGGTCGCCGGCCCCAGTTGGGCTTTGGTGTGGGAAGGGTGCATGGGATGGGGACATAGCACAGCCAGCGTGCTGGGGAGAGGGGTCCCAGCCCCCCAGTGCCCACCCAGTGCCCCCAGCTCGCCGCAGCCCCGGCACCACCCCGAGCATCTTCGCCCTGCCTCGGTCAAGGCACAACGTGCACGACCCAGCACGGCTTCGCCACGGCAGCAGCCTGGATCCAGCATCCCACAACACCTGCTGCGAAGTGCCAAGCAGCTGCAGCGGGTCGGGATGCAGGAATTCCTCTTCCCCATCATTTGGGGCTGTGCCTCATGTTGAGGGGTGCTGGAAGCAGCAGGGTTTGGGCTGGCATCCCCAGCTGTGATAACAGGTCCTGGGCAGAGCCACAGCATGAAGCTCTGCCCAGCTCCGGGGTTTGTGCACAGCGCCCAGACCTGCTTTGGGGTCCCCACGTGGGAAACGGCGTCCCCAAACAGGAGCCAGGGGCAGCCCCAACCCAGCACGGCCCCGCAGCCGAGGCCACAGAGCCTTCTGCGCGCAGAGACCTTTATCGTAGCTTATGAATGGCAACATAGGTGTGTCAGCTGGGGAAACATGCGATACGGAGCAAAGCCGACGTGTAGGACAGAGCCATGCGCACGGGGAACCTCCACGGCCACGCCGCACCTCCCCGCTCCCCGCACGTCCGTCTGTCTGTCTGTCTGTCTGCTTCCAGCCGCCCCGGGCTGCAAATCCCATCGGTGCTGCCCTCTGAAACGTTTAATGGGAAATGTTTCCCTGCTTACTAGGTTTAATTATCACCCGTTGCCAGAGCAAATAGCAAAGAAGCCCGGAGCAAACTGGAGGAGAGGGCGGTCAGAGGGCAGGGGGACAGCGGGATGTCACCAGGCGAAGGGGACGCACGGCCTGGCCCTGGGTCACCTCTCAGGAGCATCCCAAACCCAGGTCCTCCCAGGTCTGCCTGGGATTGGGCTCTGAAAAAGCTCTCCCTGCTGCTCCTATCAGCAGCACCGGAGATTTCGATAAGCAGAAGAGATTAAAAGGAAAAATATTTCCCTGCCTCACAGCGCATTGGCTTTGCCCAGGGAGAGCTGGCCAGGCCGGCAGCACAACGTGGGGCTACAAAAGCAGGGAAGCATCCCAAAACCGGCCACAGGGACCAGGGGCAAATGTCAGACCTGGCCTGAGACCGAGCCTCTGCTGCAGGATGCAGGCACAGCTCGGAGCCCCTGCTGCTCACCACGATGGGGCAGCGATGGCTGTGCCGCAGCGCGTCCCCAAAGCCGTACCCAAAGCTCTTGGGCAACGCCAGGAGTTCTCACTGATGGTGGATGAAAAGTGAAATCCCTCGAAACCAGGAGGCTGGCAGCAGATTTGCCCCATCCAAGCTGCTCTGGTTCCCTCCCTGGTGCAGGCTGGGGGCTGCGGCCACCCGCATAACCCCGGCGCAGTCTCGCCTCCCTTGCGCAATCCCAGCAGGGCCACGAGGCCGTTGCAAGCAGCTCTGGTTACATATGCAAAACAGGAAAAGAATAGGTTGCAACACCTGCGGGACAATGAAAGAGGGGAAATAGTCTGGCTTTTCTGCTCTGTGTGCGCAGTTTTGAGCGCTTTTTCCTTGTCCTGGCTGTCAACCGATCGGCTCCGATGCCGGCGCCTTTTGCACCGAAAGCTCAGCGCTGGAGCAGGAGGGGACGGAGCAGTGGCTCGTGAATCAGCCTGGAGGAATCTCTCTGCCCACCCTCCTGCAGCTAATCTCTGGCTGCATCGCAAGAATAACAGATAAGCAGCCATATAACGCACAGATATAATAAAACCATTGAAGGGACTTGATGTCACTGCGAAAACCGCAGAGGCGACCGAGCCTGCTCCGTCACCAGAACCGAGCGGCGTTTCCTGGTCTTCCCCAGCAGTGGGGTTTCCTCCACTTCGTTTCCCGCACCACTTTTGGGAACAGCAGAGTCCCCATGCAAAGCCAGCCCACACGCTCAGGGTCCCTGAGAGGCCAAATCCTGCCCCCACCGCAGAGCTGGCACCCACGCTGCCGGGCTCTGCAGGGGCGATGCCCACAGAGGAGGCAAATCCCCGCTCCCAGGGTGGCAGGACGGGATTCCTCGGGCTTTTCTGCGAGCCCAGGATGCTGGAAATGGTTCAAGCTCCTTTCACACACCCACAGGCTCAGCCCCACTCTGCAGGCAGCTGCCTCGGTGAGAAGCGCTCAGCACCCCAGCCCTCACCAGCCCCAGATCTGGTGGGTGTTGGTGTCCCGAGGAGGAGGCAGCTTTTGGGTTTCACCTCCCGTCAGCACCCAAACAAGCTCACGGCCACATCCACCCACAGCCCTGGGTGCAGATCCCACACCAAGGGAGGAAAAATCCTTTGGGCTTTGGGAACAAGCAACGGGGAAGCGCCAGGACCCTGGGAATCCCTCCTGCACCTCGAGGGCCAGCCCGGGGATGCTGTGCAGGAGGAAGATCCCTGGCGGGAGGTGGCTGCTGCTCCCCCCCCTCCTGCTGCCCATAATCTTAATTGCTCTTCCCCGGCTGTTTGCTCAGCGCCGTTCATTTCCACCCAGCCTGCACCGAGAGGGTTTATCACACTCGCTCTTGTGTTATTTCAAGCTAAGGCACGTACGGGAGGTCAGAGCTGGGAGCACTCCCTGCGATCCTAGAAAGAGCCTGGGCTGAGGGTACCGGGCTCCTTCCTCGTCCCAGCCCCACAGCTGCTGTCCCTGCGAGGTGTCCCCGTGCCACCAAAGCAGAGCAAACAGCAGGGAGCCGCTGTCACTGCCGGGAAGGGAGCGAGGGGCCTGCACCCAGCACCCAGCTGGGAACACGCTGCCGGGCTTGGGGCGAGCTGGGGGGCTGCTCCCAGAGGGGAAATTGGCTTTTCAGCAGAGCTTGGACCCCAACGCTGAGCGAATTGCCAAAATGCATGGGAAATAACCCAAGGGCAGGCACCGGGCAGCCCACGGGATTTTTGTGTGTGCGACAAGCCTGTGGAGATCTCCCAGGAAGCATCTTTGGGGTTTGAACCCGATGATCTCTGAATGTCCCCTATAATTCTGTGACCTTCAGGCGGCTCCAGAGCGGAGACCAAGCAAACCCCCTGAAATTCCCCAAAAACTCCTGGCCTCCAGCCTCACTTACCCCTTCCCAAAACATCCCCAGTGGCTCTGCGCCAGGCAGGGCCCCTCCCGTTTATTACCCTCATGGCCATGCTCATCCCACTTCCCCATCTCCCAGATGCTGCCATAAACCCCGTTTATGGGGCGCCGCGCGTATGCTCAGGGCAAACAGCCCCGGTTATTGCCGCCGGCACCCGCGTGCGGGGCCCACCCTGACAAAACAACCCCAGGGGCTCCCAACCTCGGCTGCTGCCCGTGCCGGCAGCCGGCAGCTCCCCGCTCCTGCACCCCGGTGCCCGGTGCAGGGTTTCGCCCCCCCTCCTCCCCATTTTCCCCTGTGCCAAGCGCGGCTGACGCAGGCGGGGAGGTCGCAGGGCAGCCGGCCGGGCTGGGAGCAGCGGGATCCAGCTGCGTGTTTGCTGTTCCCTGCTTAACGCCCCGCTCTTTTCTTCCTCCGGTGGCTTTCTAAGCTCCTGCTTTTGTCTCTCGGGATTAAAAGCCTGGAAGTGGCCGCGGGTCGCGCAGCGCTGCCAGGAAGAGAGGGCTCAGGGCGGCGCGGGTGCGCCCAGCTCGGCGGCACAGCAAACGCCGGTGGAGGGGGGGTGAGGACAGGTCACGGCCACCCCGGCACTGTTTTGGGGCGCACGCTGGGGAAACGCACATATAGGGACAACCCCTGAGCTGGGCTGCCCATGTGGGTCCCCCCCATCCCCACACAAACCCCAAACCCCTCCATACAGCCCGG